CTTCTTCTAGACAGCATGTGAGATTACATGGAGAACAAATTAAGTTCTGCTAAAGTCTCAGATGTCTGTCCTGAGGAAATAATACAAAAAGCAAAAGGAATCCGCAAACCAAACAAAACGAAGAAAAAAAAAATGTACTGAAGAATTACATGGAAGCAGCAACAAAAAAAGTGCAGTAACAAAAATGTGACTGTGCACACACAAACAAAAAGCAAAAAAACAAACGTTTCAGTCCGTACTGGACTATCTTCATACTCTGAAGAAAAACCCACAGTAATCTCTGTTTAGAATTTCAGAGGAGATCTCAACAATGTCTCAAACTGTGCTCAGATTTCTGTTTAATTTTATTTAATTTTATTTTAAAGTTTTAGAACATTTCTTTGTTTATTTCTGTGTTTTTGTCATTTTTATTAGCCTACTGTTTGTTTGTTTGTTTGTTTGTGTGTGTCATATGTTTATTATTTTTTTTATTTCCGTTTTAGTTATTTTAGTTCATCAAGTTAAACTAAAAATAAGAGAAATGTTGCTTTGGTAATGAGCTGAAGTAAAATAAGTTTTAGAATAAATTTTAATACGTTTTAAAATACATTTTATTACATTTTATTTAATTTTATTAACGTTTATTAACATCTTTTTTACAAGCTGAAATAAAATAAGTTTTCTATACATTTTATTTTGTTTTTATTAACGTTTACTTTATTTCAAGTAACAACAATCTTTTTTATGGTTTTTAGTTCATCAAGTTAAACTAAAAATAAGAGAAATGTTGCTTAAGTTTTAGAATAAATTTTAGTAAGTTTTAAAATACATTTTATTACATTTTATTTAATTTTATTAACGTTTATTAACATCTTTTTTACAAGCTGAAATAAAATAAGTTTTCTATACATTTTATTTTGTTTTTATTAACGTTTACTTTATTTCAAGTAACAACAATCTTTTTTATGGTTTTAATTTTAGTACATCAAGCTAAACTAAATGAGAAAACTTGCTTTGGGAATGAGCTGAAATATTTATTTTTATTTATATTTATATTTTATTAACGTCTATTTTATTTCAAATAACAAATATTTTGATATGGTTTTAATTTTAGTACAAGTATAAACTAAATGAGAAATGATACTTTGGAAATGAGCTGAAATAAATTAAGTTTTATAATAAATTTTAATAAGTTTAAAAATAAACATTATTACATTTGATTTAATTTTATTAACGTTTATTTCAAGTAACAACAATCTTTTTTATGATTTTAATTTTAGTACATCAAGCTAAACTAAATGAGAAATGTTGCTTTGTTAATGGGCTGAAATAAAATACATTTGTTTTATATTATATCTTTTTAATGATAATTTTATTTCAAGTAACAAATATCCTTTTTATGGTTTTAATTTTAGTTAACTATAATAACCCTGATATGAACTCAAACAAAAAGAACAACTTATCCGAGTCTTCATTAATGTAGTAGCTCTATACTCTATACATGTATGACAAATAATTTTTCCATTTCAATCCAACTGAGAACTCCTTAAGTTTCCTGAGCAATGAAAGAGAAAGTAGCATTCCCTGCTGAGACACAGCCGAGTGAGTGTCTTGAAGGTATTTAGTTATTTTAAAGTTGGTTTCTGTTGCTGTTGTGAACTCTAGGTGTCTTTCTTAAAGCAGAAACAGTTGATTTTCAGCACAAGCTTCTCAGTAAAGATGGATATTGTTGTAGAACCATCACAGGCTCAAGAGAAAACCTCACAATAACAGCAGAAAACTAGCAGAAATCAGCAGCGGCTCAATCCGGTTACCCGCCGTTTGTGGCCGAACATAAACACAAGTGCACATTCTTCTGATCTCATTTATAAAAGTTAAAGGACAATACCTGTGATTTTCTCTCGTCCTGAAGGTCCCAGAGATCTGATCGTTTTCTGGCTGTGTTCCGAATAGAAAACTAGCATACTACACATACTGTACTTTTGAAATAGTATGTGAAACAACACATTATGCAACACGTTTTGTACAGTATTATCCTACATTACATTACATAACCTCATTATATTGTGTGTTTAATTCAGTTTGTGCTTATTTTCCATTTTGAATCCAGTTCTTGGAAGTTATTTTTGGTTGCCCGGCTAAATAATGGGTCGTGAAAGAAGTTATAAATACAGTTGACATTACTTACGGTTCATTCGTCACACTGCAAATGGATGAAGATCAAGTCATCCTTATAATTCATGCATATAGAAAACTCACACACTGAGCTCAGTATGCATAATATATACTGCAGAAGCAGTAGGAATAGTATAGTAGTATGCTATTCCAGACACAGCCTGTCTTTCGTGTTCATGAAGGCGTCTGACGTCTTCGCTCTGTTTCCATCAATGACTCTGGTGAAGAAAAAACAAGATTATAGACATAAATCATAAGATTATAGTCACAACTACACAAACTAGTCATGATAACTAACTATAATCACCTGAACCTTCTGGACAGAGCAAACAAGTGTTTAACAGAATAGTACGGTGTGGAAGAAAATGAAGAGGAAGACGAAAAACAGGGAAAGAAGGATCTGTCGAAAAATCACAAAATTAATTTTTGAAGACACTGTAGTTTGTGAAGACACAAGACACTCATTATTTTGGTCGTCCATTCCACACAGCAACGAACGAACATTTTTTTTCTGGCCAAAATATATTTGAAATATATGCTAAATATATGTTATAAATATTCCAGCCCAATCAAATATATTTTTGAAATTGAAAATATATTTAGTTTCAACCTTTATATACCAAAATATATTTCAAACAGCATTTCAGGGGCAAGATTTTTTTTTTTAAATCTTACTTTTTCTTCAAATGTGACATGTGAATATATTTTGTTTGATTTAAATATATGGAGGGAAAATATATATTTTTAAATGTTTTTAAAAACTTTATTTACATTTTTTATATATAAAATATATACAAAACAACTGACAAATATATATATATATATATATATATATACACACACACACATACACACAGATCAGGCATAACATTATGACCACTGACAGGTGAAGTGTTTATCTCTTCATCACGGCACCTGTGGTCACTAGTAAATGTTTGTCAATATTGTTGTTATTTGATTACATAATCAAATTGAACAATTAGAGCAGTATATATCTGGCACAAAATTCATAGGTGAAAGCATCAAACATCAAGCCTGAATACATTTACAGTAAAAAAGCTAAACATGATTTGTACTATAAAAAGAAAACTTTCTACGAACACTTTCAATGAATCAACTGACTCAAATGAATCGGTTCGCTTGAGAGAGAAATTATGCCAGAAACGGAAAACAGATTCATTTTGCGCTTGGTTAATTCACACTAGCGAAAAAGAAAATAGAGCTGAGAAAACAGATTAACTACTTACACATGGCTGGAAACTACAGCTAGTTAGTCGCTGCGTGACTCATAACATGTCCATGAACTTTGTAAAACTGAAGCATGTAAAAATTCTTCTGTTTTGTAGCGTTTTCCACACGAACCACCTGCTAACTGCAGCAGGGTTGCCAGGTTTTCACAACAAAACCCGCCTAATTGCTACTCAAAAGGGGGATCCCCCAGTAAAAATTGCATTCCAGTGGGGTAAAATACACGTTTTTGGTGGGGTTCCCCTGGTAAAATTAGCATTTTAGGGGCTAAATATTAGTGCTGGGCAGTATGACCAAAAATTTATATCACGGTATCTTCCAAAATTATACCGGTTTCACACATTACTGAGGTCGCTTATACCCGCGGCAACAGAGTTAAAGTAGCCCAATTCCGCGGGAACACCACAGACATGGCAACACTGGCAGCGACCTAGATTCAAAACATCTAGAGTTTAGCAGCGCCACCCACTGGCTGCTCCATGACATCTGCTTAAAGCTGAATAAAATAATTATATAGCCAATAAATCAAATAATTATATATACATTTATGTAGCTCTAGAGCTGTATTGATACAGGTGACACTTATACTGTGGTAGTACCATAGTACTCCAAGGTATTTCATTGAGGTGTGTGTCAAAAGCAGCGTATTCTTTGAATCAGAGAAAAATATATATTTTTAAAGTACACGTGTCTTATGTTTTCATTACTTAATCATTTTAGTAGGCAGGTTGACTAAACGCATGCACGCTAAACAATTTTAAATTAAACTTCTCAAGCAAATATATAAATATTTTTAAAAAAGACACAGTGGGGTTTCAGATGTAAAGTGTTATAAAATGTGTTTTAAACGCATCCTGTCACCATATCAGCTAGAGTGCTAACAACTTACTAACCACTAGATGGCGTGATTAAATGTTTATTATAAAACGGAGAGTTACGGTCCTGGATTCTGATTGGTTGAGCCAAGTTCGAAGCTGTTGTAAATTACTCTACAAACACACTCCTTTGTTTACATTTGTGTGTTGCAACCACAACTGTTTCTGAGGAACTACATTGTTTGGCGGAAGAATACTGTTTTTATTAATATCATTACACTTTATTTGCTCTTTTTTATTTCGTGAAACCTTACTACGTATATGGAATAACCGTTTTATAAAATATGCTTTATAATACTTAAATGTTTTATAGTTTTTTTTTTTTTTTTTAATTATATAAATATTTAAAACTGATGTTATTTTACTAACCACATGATGATATAAGAAAATCTTATTCAATAAATATTTTAAATACTGTATATACAAATTCATACTTTTAAAACGTGTACACAAATTAAATACTATATATACAGTATTTAATTTGTATATAAATATTAAAAATACTAATGTAAACTAGTGTTGAATTTACATTAAATTGCACGCACACACACACATAGTACAACAATGTAAATTAAATTTTGAAAACATTGCTAAAGACTATATATATATATATATAGATATATATATACACACACACACCATATCTTTATAGCAAAAGCTATTATTCTATATTCATTTTACTAACTCAATGGTGTTAAAAAGTTCCCAAAATATTTACACGCTCCGTGAACATTCAACGAAGCAAACCTGACACACAGACAGTCAGTTTTTGTGTCTTAATGATGCAACTCATGTTCAGAGAAATGAACGAGTCAATAAATGCAGACTGTCATTTTTAGTAATTATTCAAGAATAAACAAATATGGTTCCTTCACATGTCACAAATCATAACAGCGCATGAATGTGTGCTCATTTGCAAATTTTACACATATTTACAAAACAATATTTAATGTCAAAAGAAAAGCGGTGGGCAGTGTCGTCCATTGTTATGTTATAATATAGACATTTCCAGCCCATCATCATCAACTAAAAGAGACTCTTATAAATACTTCTAAACAGGTCATCCACACTTAGTTCATGTTGAAACTGAGAAGCTCGACTCGTGTCCGGTTCTTTCAGGGCAGAGATCCAGACACCGTCTCTTTCTGCTGCAGCTTCAGGACCAGTTCCAGCAAATTCATCTGCATCATCACCTCCTGTGACGGACAGAGCGAACAGCGTTTCAAAGAACGAACGCAGACGACGCTGAGAGGGAGAAAGAGTGAGAGTGAGACTGACCTGTGGGTTGGTGGTGATGTAGAAACCCGGCACGCCTGCTTTCTCCAGCGTGTTCTGCTGATCCAGAACCTTCTGATCCATCTCAGCCACGACCTTCTCGTCCATCATCCTCTGCTCTTCTTTCACCCGCTGATCGAGAGCCTGAAACAGTGACGGAGGAGAGACAGGGTTTGCTGAGGGACTCCAGAAAAAAAAACACAAAACACACACTTGGGTGGCCATATGTCCTTTTTTCCCCCAGACATTTCCTAAAAATGTGACCCTGGAGCACAAAAGCAGTCATAAGTAGCACTGCTATATTTGTAGCAATAGCCAACAATACATTGTATGGGTCAAAATGACCCATTTCTCTTTTATGCCAAAAATCATTAGGATATTAAGTAAAGATCATGTTCCATGAAGATATTTTGTAAATTTCCTACCGTAAATATATCCAAACTTAATTTTTGATTAGTAATATGCATTGCTAAGAACTTCATTTGAACAACTTTAAAGATGATTTTCTCAATATTTTGATTTTTTTGCACCCTCAGATTCCAGATTTTCAAATAGTTGTATCTCAGCCAAATATTGTCCGATCCTAACAAACCATACACCAATGGAAAGCTTATTTATTCAGCAAATCTCAATTTTTATTTTTTTTTCCTATTGCATTATGTGTGTATTTGCATTGCTTTGACCGTTCTCTGTAGATCCCACCTTCTGACATGCCATGATTTTGGCAGATTGTGTACATTTCTGAACATTTCACTGCATTTTAGATGGATATGATGCCTTGGCACTGAGTAACTGAAACTTACAAAAATTACTAAAACTGAAATAAATACAAATTAAAGTTTATAAAATAAAAAAAAGATTTTAAAAAATTAAAAAATAACAATATTAATATGACATAACAAATACGAAAATATAAAAAACCTAATTCAAAATATTAATCAATACTATAATAACAGTGTATAAATACCACCAAAATAACAATTATCACTAGTACCACCTAAATTATGCATTAATGTGCCCAGCAACTGTAAACACTAGACACTTAGTAGAATAAACAATGTTACTTATTAATTATTATGATTGTGGTATAAGTCAAAATATTAATCAAAAATAAATAATATGTCAAATTAGTATTAGTCAAAAATAATTAATATGTCAAATTAGTATTAGTCAAAAATAATTTATATGATTATTAAAGATGACTGTGTAATGTAGACTTTATAAAGACAAGAAAGATGAACAAATTAAATAAATATAGTACCAACATGTACTAAAATAAACAAATCAATAAAGAAATATCACTATAATATTATTTCATAATTATTTCAAATATTTAATAATAATAATTTTAATTTATATAATAATAATGTTGTATTTATTATTATTATTAGTAGTAGTAGTAGTAGTAGTGGTAATAATCGTTGTAAAATTACAATACTAATATTTTTGTTGTTTTTTCTTTATTTTAAAAAAGTAAACAACAGAGCTTTTATTTTGGTGGAAAACCGCAGGGAGACTTCTCTTTATAAACCATTCTCATTACAAACTTGAGAAGGTGTCTGGCTCATGTAGCATTTTCAGATGCATGCTATACAGTAAGTGACTCAAACTCACAGCATTTGCAGATTTGATAATCACTGTGCACCTTATTGTGTTATCAGGCATTGTCAAAATTAATAATAAATAAAAATACCAGACTCTTTCACACACTCGCCAATGCTGATTTTCACTTGGTGAGTGTTCATTTTAGGCCCAGTCTGCACTCTATTGGTCAAACTACTTTTTAGTCATCACCTTCAACAAATATGAAAACAATATGAAAACAAAGGCCAAACACAGACATGTCTGGAGAAACACAGAGTGTCTCATCGTACCTCAGCTTCTGCTCTCTGGTTGCTTTTCAGGACGGCCAGATTGTGAGACTTGCACGTCTGCAGAGCCTGTTTGTGTTTCCGAACCAAATCCTGCTTGAGAGCTGAAACACACACAGACAGATCACACACAGTCAACATCTTACAGTGTTCAGCGAGGTCTGAAACCCTTACACACACACACACACACACACATCATCTTACAGTGTTCAGCATGGTCTGAAACCCTCACACACACATGTGCTCGCCGTGTAGTTTCTGTCTCTGGTTGTAGAGGTTTTTCTCCGTCAGGTGTTGAATGTCCAGCAGCCCTTGAACTATTTCATACACCGTCCCGTCGATGAGCGCTTGAGCCAGATCACTGAGCGTGGTGTAAGACAGACGCTGCTGAAACGAGCTGAAATAAACCTTTATCACTCATAAAACCCATCCAATTACATTTACATTCCCATTTAGTCATTTAGCAGACGCTTCTATCCAAATGAGGACAACAGAAGCAATCAAAACCCACAAAAGAGCAATAATACTGTATGCAAGTGCTGTGACAAGTCTCAGTTAGCCTAACACAGTACACGTTGCAGGGTTTTTATTATCTTTTTATATATATATATATATATATATATATCACATGATCTTCAGAAATCATTCTAATATGCTGATTTATTATTAGAGTTCTCAACAGTTGTGCTGCCAAATATTTTTTTGGAAACTGCGATATTTTTTCAGGATTCTTTGATGAATAAAAAGTTAAAAAGTATGCGTCATTAAAATGAACAGTGAAAGTAACAAAAGCTTATACAATACATTTTAACAGGTATAATTAAGTGTGGAAATAACTGAAGGTAATATCTGTTTGCTAAATGAAGCCAAATAGCATGATTAATATTAATATTATTATTTTGTTTCTGTACCCAATATTTGAAAAAAATTACAAATGCTGTGAAATTACAGGTATCGTGAGTACCAAAAACGAAAATATCAGTATCGGACTCATTCTGAAAAAAGTGGTATCGGTGCATCCCTAATATTTACGATTTAGTTTTAATCCAAATGCATGCGCTAATAGAGCCAACATCAATCAAGATAATGCAACAGAAGTGCGCGCTCTCGGACTCTCTCTCTCTCTCCTTACCGTCAAATAACTTTAGTAACTTGTGCATTGTTTTACTTACTTGCTTTTGACATATCCGACCGAACTTCAGACTTTCCAGTGATGTCTGAGATATTCACTCAACAAGCTCGCGCATCTGTGCCGCCGCGCGCTCAATCCACTCAGCGCGCTCTGGTTATCAGCTCGGGCACATCCGCTATACAGGCGTGAATATTGAATGTTTAACATTATATTAATTACTTACATGTACTTCATAGTAGTGCTGGGCGGTATGACCAAAAATTTATATCACGGTATCTTCCAAAATTATACCGGTTTCACGGTACATGACGGTATTTTTTTTCCATGCATGACCAGGTGTTAACCATATTTTCTACTGATTGAGAGGAAATACTGCAATATATGGTATTCGTTATGAACCGGTATACCGCCCAGCACTACTTCATAGACATCCTTAATCTCCAATTAACGCCATTCTGCTCTCTGTTGTTCTGTTTTCAGTGTTTCTTTTTCTGGACACAGCTCTATTCACACGCTGTTTGGTATCGGCTTTTGGTATCGGGGCATTTTTACGAGTACGAGTACAGGAGCGCAGTATCGGTGCATCCCTAATGTTAACTAAAGAAGTGGCTCTAAAATGATCTAAACTAACTTCTGAAGACTGGATGTCTTGTGGCCCATCACTAAGTTATAGTCAAAAGTTTCTGTTTACATAATATATGTGTGTGTACTGTTTATATTTATTATGTATATTTAAAGACACACACATACAGCATATATTTAGAAAATATTTCTTACATTTATATATTTATATTTATATTCATATAAATTATATCATATATAAATATATTTAATATATAAACAGAACATATTTTTCTATATATGCATGTATGTGTATTTATATATACAAAAATATACACAGTACAAACACATAAATTATGTAAAAAAAAAACGTTTATTTTGGATGCGATTAATCGTGATTAATTGTTTGACAGTACTAATATATATATATATATATATATATATATTGCCATGTACATATACATCACGTGTGTGTGTGTGTGTGTGTGTGTATGAAGTGTTCAGATGCAAAAGCCTCTTAGTTCCGTTTGAATGTTTATTCTAACATGAGCATTTTTTTTAATCAGGCTCCTATGTTTGTTCGGTTATTTCATTTAAATGGCAACGAAAAGAACCTATTCGTTGCTATTAACGTTACATTACTGAACATACACATAGGAGCCTGATAAAAATGCTCATTTTAGAATAAAATGTCAAACAACATTGAGAGGCTTTTGCATCTGAACACTTAATATATACATTTTATTTATTTATTTGTTTATTTATTTTCTGTGGTGACGTTGACGTTGACCACTGGTTTAATTTATAGACATAATACATTCAGTTATTATGTCTATGGTTTAAAATCATCTTTATTTTATTTTAATCTTTATGTTTTATTGCATGACTCCTTTTCTTTGTCGTTCACAAAACAATTTAAACACAAGTTCAAAAACAAATTTTTCTCTTAATGTTGTCTTAAATCACTTTTAAATCCATTTAATAGTACCGATTAATTCCCTGTTTTTAGCACAGATATGCATTTGAAGAAACGTCTCTGTGGTTACGCTGCACTGCGCGTCGCTCACCAGCAGATGTCGCTGTTCACACAGTTTCTCATCAGCATCACAAGAAGCCTCATCATCATCATCATCACAGAGACAGAGATGACTTTCTGTTATGCTGTTCATTATGTTCCCAGCTAACACAAAATATGTTCTAAGAACGTTATTTCTGAATTTTCACTGACGCGCGCGTGTGTGTGTGTGTGAGAGAGAGAGAGATGTGTGTGTGTGTCTGTGAGATACGGTACTTAACAGTGACCTCAGACTGATTAGATCACAGTGGACTGTTAGGTGTTCATGGATGCTTTCAGTTGCAATGCTTCATTATTTCTCATCGAACACATTAAAATAATGCTGCATGTATTTTGTCATTGCACATTCGAGATCAATAATATTAGATGTGATGGGGAGAGAGAGTGGAGAATATGTTACTCACGGTCGTCTCTGTGTGTGTGTGTGTGTGTGTGTGTGTGTGTGTGTGTGAAAACGCCCAGCAGGTGGCGCTGCTGTATGACAGAAATCAAGGAGTACTGTCATTATTAAAACACTATTATTATTATCATTATACATTCAATGCAGTCTAGGTGACTTTGGATAAAAACATCTCCCAAATGCATATATGTAAATGTATTATATTATGCATTTATATATGATTGTCAGGGTGAATGTCATGAAGAACTGTTTGTTTCATATTTATTTCACATTAAAATAATTTAATATTCTAATTGCCACAATGTAAATGCAATGCTAACTTTTTCTAAAATCAGGTTTCATTTTCTTTGTGCCAAATATAATTGTATTTATTTTTTATATTTATTTCATTAATTTTATTATTTATTTTTAATTCTATTTACTCTTTATTTATTTATTATTATTATTATTATTATTATTATTAATGTACCTTGAATGCAATATAAATCACTTTGGATAAAAGCGTCTGCCAAATGCATAAATGTAAATGTGTTTTAGTATAATTTCTCTTTTATATGCTGGGTGAATGTCAATAAAGAAATGTCTGTCATATTTATTTCACGTTAAAGGCATGAGAATTTGTGGATTAAATAGTTTTGTTAATTAATATTAATTAATATTATTATTATTTGTTACAAAGCAAATGCAATGCAATACTAATTGTTATCAAAATCAGTGTTATTTTAATATAATTAATATAATGTTATAGTATTTTTAAAAATATTTTAAATTAGTTTTGTATTTTTATATGTTCATTTCCATTTTAATTTTATTTTTATTTAACGTTTTAGTAATTTTGTCATTTTTTTTATTTATTTTATTTTATTTTTATTTTTAAAGATGTCTGTATAGTTTTTATTAATTTTTATTTCCATTATCGTTATTTTAGTACTAAATTAAATGTAAATGAGAATTTTTGCCTTGGCAACTAGTTAAAATAAAATACGATTAAAATAGTATTCTATTTCAGTTAACAAGTATACATACAATTATTTTTCATGGTTTTAGTTTTAGTTAATGATAATAACCTTATTAGTATTATTTTCTATGTGCAAAATATTTATTTCTTTATTTATCACCCATGTTTTGGATCAATCATCATGACATTCACCATGTTGCTACAGTGATTAATATGAATGAACCACCACCATAATCAAACAATCCCATATGAATTAAGAGTTTACAGTATGAACAGTAACTACAGTAACTCTGGTACTCCATAGTTACCATGGTAAACGTCTATAGGGAAGAAATCCTCACTGTGCTCCATTTCTGACTCTGCTGATGTTTGGGACACAGGAAGCAGTACCTGGAGACACAGGAAGTGGAGGCAGTGGAACAGGAAGAGCCGCTGAAGGCCAGTCAGCTGTCATCAGGTCAGAAACACACTTGAGTTGATCTGTAGCCAGCACAGAACACGTGTTGAAGCGTCTCCTCTCTCTCGGTGTGTGTGTCAGTGTCTGCGCAGGGCTGATCTGAGCACGCTCGTGCCAGAGCCGAGATCCAGACGAGAGCCTGAGCTCATAGAGACGACCAGCTTCAGCTTCAGCGCTCAGGAACAAGAACTCCGATTATGCAATGTTTTCCAATCAAACTCCAGTTATTGATGAACGTCCGTGGAAACATTTTTACGTATTTGTACTTTGAAGTGTTTTTATTATCTTGATGCTCTGGGGTGATTTTTATGGAGGGCCAAATTACTCAAAATTAAATAATTAACTAAATGTTGAAATATATAAATAAATCGTTAAATACATAATTAAATAAATATTTATTCATTCATTCATTTATTTATGTATTTATACATTTAATTTTCAGGGTTTCGGGACGTGCCGACAACCATAACCCTGCATTTATTTATGTATTTAATTGTGTATTTAACGATTTATTCACTCAACATTTATTTCATGATTAATTTTGAGTAATTTGGCCCTCCATAGATTTGATCACAGACGGCTGACTGTAGTCTGCATGGCATTACTGTACACTAAACAGCATCAACACATTCACACAGCAGGGTAATTACACTTAACTACAGTTAAATCCATAAAACACATTATTACTTGAAGTAAAATAAACATTAACGTAAATAAAATAGAAAAAAAACATATTTTATTTCAGCTAGTTGCCAAAGCAAATTTTCTCATTTTCATTTAGTTTGTAAAATATTACATTGTTTTACAACATTTTTTGTTTTTGTTTTACAAAATATTATAAAAAATATTGTGAAATAACTGCTTTCTATTGTGATATATTTGAAAATGTAATTTATTTATGTGATGCAAAGATTCATTTTGCTCAAGAAACATTTCTGATCATTATCAATGTTGAAAATAGTTCATATTTTTGTGGATACACTATCATGCAAAATTTGGGGTCAGTACAACTAAAAAAAAATAAGAAATTAAAACTTTTATTCATCAAGGATGCATTAAATTGATCAAAAGTGCCAGTAAAGGCATTTATAATGTTACAAAAGATTTTAAAAATTTTAAATGCTGTTCTTGTCCTGAAAAATAAAATGTATCACGGTTTCCACAAAAATATTGTGCAGCACAACTGTTTTCAACATTGATAATAATCAGAAATGTTTCTTGAGCAGCAAATCAGCATATTAGAATGATTTCTGAAGATCATGTGACACTGAAGACTGGAGTAATGATGCTGAAAATTCAGATTTGATCACAGGAATAAATTACAGTTTAACAGATATTCACTTAAAAATAGCTATTTTGAATAGAAATAATATTTCTCTATTTTTACCGTATTTTTGATCAAATAAATGCAGCCTTGGTGAGCAGAAAAGACTTCTTTCAAAAACATTTAAAAAACTTAATTATTCCAAACTTGTGGCCTCCAGTGTATAAACATATTTTAAATAATAATAATAACAAAAATGACAGAAACACACAACATAATAACAAACTATTAATATGAATGTGCAAAATACAAAAAAAAAAATATATATATATATAATAGTATCCCAATCACGCTCAAACAACACTGACACACATTATAAAAACAGCGAATCTATTTTGTGCAATTTGCTTTCATGCAGGTGAACTAGGTCTTGGCCAAATGTATTTGATTAATATAGTAATTGTAATATTTTTTATATTTGCACACAAATGATTCCCATAACTTATTCACATAAGGATTGTAAACACATAAAGCTTTGCATTGTGCCAAACAGTGTTTTTTGGGTCGTGTGAGCATGTGCGTGCTGGAAAACAGCTGAATAGAGTTGACTTGTTTTGTTTTTGGCCAAATATGTATTTGAAACATTTGCTTTCTTGTGCAGAAATTCGCTTTTGTTGGTTTAACGCTCATTTTATTTGGACGGAGAGCATCTGCTGTGCCTGTTGACTATTAAACACATTTACACCAAACTGCAGCAAACTCTGTGTTTCTTTCTCTCAATCCAGTCTGACCTCAAATAATTCATACTGCATTACATTTATGATTGCATAAAGCTGGCGTGCAACGTTTGCACGAGCTCTGTGCTGTTCATTCAATTTCTCCAGAGCGGGATGACAAAATCAATTTTGATTTGACAGGAAATATTATTATTACCTGCTAATATTGTGCCGCTGGGAGTGAGAATGAAAAACGAAAGGAATCATAACCAGCAACGACACACGCTTCCAGCGACAAGTATTTGTCCACGTGAGTGAAAATGCTGCATGACACAATCACAAACAATCAGAGCAGATTTCATGTGGAATACACAGCTGCGATATTAACCTGTGAGTGACCATAAATCAAAACAAACAACTGATGGAACCAACCAACCTGAATATACACATATTTGTGAATAAATATTTGACACTTCAGATTTTATAGTATAGACCTGGTGACATTTTACAATAAGGTTCCATTAGTTAACTACACTATTTAAAAATGAAAATACTTCTAAAGCAATTCTTGATCTTAGTTCATGTTAATTTGTATGTGTTAATATTTTGAATGGACCTGAGATAACATGACCTAACAATGAACAGTCAACAAAAAATGAATAAATATTGTAACAAATGTAACTTATTTTTAACCACATTTTTACATTTTATTTACATTATATAATTGTTTTTTTTTTTCTGAGACTCGTTTACATGTATAATTACTGGATGGTTGTTAAAATCAGACTGGTTCTCAAAGTAATCTTTCAGGATAATTTGGGAGCTGATTTGACCATGATTCATGATTCAGAACCATGATTCAGTCAAATCAGACATCACTGCAGCATGTGAGCAGTTTTTACTCTATAGAAAAGCTAAATTAGGACTAGGAAATGTTTTAGGGAAGAAAATAACTTGAAAATGTGCATACACTGATGGCCAAAATTATTAGAACACTAGTATTTTCAGCAGCTAAAAAAGTCAGTTTTAAGTCAGTTATTTTTATCTTTTGCTGTAGTGTGTCGATAGGAAATATCAGTTTATATTTCCAAACACTCATTTTGCCATTAATTGTAATAATGCAGTGAGATTAGTTTGTGCTCCACACAGAGATCTGATCTGATCATCATCAGTCTGTCTGAGATTACATGCAGAAACAGAACAAACTGAGACAGACTCAATCCAGAAGAACTGTGTCTCCGAGACGCTTCAAGAAACCTCCTGAGAAACTCTTGCTTCAAGCTGCTTTAAACACAAAGGATGCTCACACCAAATGTTGATTTGATTTAGTTAATAAAAGTTAACTGATAAAGAAAATCTATTTATGACATTATTTTTGACAGCATCCTCATTATACAGCATTTTTACACAAGTGCCTAAAACTTTTTATAGTACTGTAGCTTTGCTGGAAGCTTTCTTGAAGCATCTCGGAGACACAGTTCTTCTGGACTGAGTCTGTCTCAGTTTGTTCTGTTTCTCAAAAGATAGAAATAACTGACTTAAAACTGACTTTTTTAGCTGCTGAAAATACTAGTGTTCTAATAAATTTGGCCACCAGTGTATCTCATCAACATTTATAAATTTATGAGATTTAAAATTCCACAATATTTCCAGGTTCTTTACTAACTGTGGGAAACCTGTGTAATGTAATTAACATTTAGAAAGTATGGGGGCGGTATAGGATTTTATCCATTTATTATTATTACTATTATTATTATTATTATTTATGTTTTTGAAAAGTTTGGGTTTGTGACTACATTCTTGCATGATTGTTCACTGTTTCACATATATTTCTGGTTTTTATATACACTACCATTCAAAAGTTAGGGGTCAGTAAGATTTTAAAAAAAATTACTTAGTTGTTTATTTGATTAAAAATGCAGTAAAAACAGTAATATTGTGAAATATTATTACAATTTCAAATAAGTGTTTTCTATGTGAATATATGTTAAACTGTAATTTATTCCTGTGATCAAAGCTGTATTTTCAGCATCATTACTG